AGCTCCTTGATGCTGAGTTCGATCCACCACCTAAAATACAGTTTTTCATTGCAACATAATAGGCAGTATGTGAAGTGTACGACCAATCACCACAATCCTGAAGATGCAGAGGGTGGGTTGGTGTGGGGGTAGTTTGTGCACTATAGCACTGGAGTAATGAATTAAGAGAAAGTCTGAGATGGAGAAGTGAAGGGGTGTCTAGATCAGGGTACCAAACCTTTTTCTGGCACATCTTAAGTTGGAAATAAGTGTTGAGGGCACCTCTCTTTATTCAGGTGTCATTCAGGAGGAATGAAGATTCTGGTGGTTTGGAGCATTGGCTTCACTTGCAATGAATCAGCAGAAATGTGTTATAAAACATATCAGATGGGGGAGGGGCCTCACGGGCACCGTGGGTGCTGTACTGGAAAAGGTATCAGTAGATCAGGGGTTGTCAACCTGGTCCCTACCACCCACTAGTGGGTGTTTCAGGATTCTAGGTGGGCAGTAGAGGGTTCTATGGCACAAGCTGAATCCTCCTTCCATCGAGCACTGGTTGGCGGTAAGGAAATTTTACCATCAAGAAAGATGCATTAGTGGGCGGTAGGTATAAAAAGGTTGACTACCCCTGGAGTAGATGATGGGGCAGCCCACAAAGGGAGTGGCTAGTTTGTTGGTGTTTCACCATCCTTTTTTCTTTATACAAACAAGGTGAAGTGTAGGTCAGGGGGAAAGTGGAAGAACAATTTGAAGACAAATGTGAAACCAATTAGAGGTGTTACAGGCAGGGCTTTTTCCGTGGGTGTCACTGCCATTATAAGATAACAAGGTTTGTTCTGACACCTCTTCTTATAGAAAATTGGCACTGATCACAGAGCAATAGGTGATCACAACACCCAAGCAAAACATTCCACACAAAGTTGATTTGCGTGATTAGAGCAAACATCTTATTTCCTCAGCAGTTGTTATGTGAAACTCAGTGCAATGGAGATGCTTGCTTAAAAAAAGTTGTTTGGAACAGTATATTCCCTGCCTGAAACATCTGAATATGGCCTCTGCTGTTGTGATGTTAGGTTGCATTAGTTAAAAGCAAGTTCTCAGTGATTTTAAAAGTCAAGTCAATGGTAGTATAGTAGGTGAACATAGTCTAAAGTCATGGTATTTGTGCAAGCGGTTTCCAACATTTAGAAAAACTAATGATTTTTGGTACCATCACACTAGATGTTTACTTACCAAGAGTATCTTTAATAAGTACATCAAGCTTCTGACCCATATTGGCTACTCTGTCATCTTTGGGACTCTGCACTCTGTTCACAATTTCTTGTTTGATAGAGTTGATCACAAACAGCAAGTTATCTGCAAGAAGAGACCAGGCAACAATGTAAGTCTACTGGAATGCACCCTTTGGAAGAATACACTTCCCTATTTATTCATTTAACATATGCTATAATGCCCCTTTAATTCAAAATTTTCAAGTCCATTTGAAATAACTAATACAAACACAACAATAAAAAGTGGTGCTTAACATAGAACAGAGGGGGAAGCCTGAGAAAATAAAGAATGAACTTAAAAGGTATTAATGTAAGCCACAGCTAAACCTCCCTGGGAAAATTAC